ATTATTGTTGATGTCAGATTGATCTTGACTGAAAGCAAAGAATACCAGAAATATGTTTACTTGTGCTTTATTGACTATGCAAAAGCATCCGACTGTGTGGATCATAACAAACTATGGATAACATTGAGAATTATGGGAATTCCAGAACACTTAATTGTGCTCATGAGTAATCTGCACATAGACCAGGAGGCTGTCATTCAAACAAAACAAGAGGATATATTGCATGGCTTAAATTCAGCAAGGGGGTGTGTTAGGGTGGTATCCTTTCACCACAAATAGTCAATCTGTATGCTGAACAAATAATCTGAGAAGCTGGACTATATGAAGAAGAACATGGAATCAGGATTGGAGGAAGACTCATTAACAACCTGCAGATATGCAGATGACACAACCTTGCTTGCTGAAAATGAAGAAGGCTTAACAGCACTTACTGACAAAGATCAAAAACAAGTCTTCAGTATGGATTACACCTGAACATAAAGAAAATGAAAATTCTCATAACTGGACCAATAGGCAGCATAATGATAAATGGAGAAAAGATTGAAGTTATTAAGGATGTCATAGTACTTGGATCCACAATCAATACCAATGGAAGCAGCAGTCAAGAAATCACATGACATATTGCCCTGGGCAAATCTGCTGCAAAAGACTTATTTAAAGTGCTGAAGAGCAAAGATGTCTCTGTGAAGACGAATGTGCACCTAATCCAAGCCATGGTGTTTTCAATCACCTCATATGTGTTTGAAAGCTAGACAATGAATAAGGAAGACAGAAGAACAGTTTATGCTTTTGAGTTGTGGTGTTGGTGAAGAACACTGAAAGTACCATGGACTGCCAGAAGAACTAACAAATCTGTCCTGGAAGAAGTGCAGCCCAAATGTTCCTGGGAAGTGAGAATGGCCACACTTCATCTCACCTACTTTGGTCATGTAAGAATGGACCATTCCCTGGAGAAGGATATCATACTTGGTGAAGTGGAGGGTCATCGAAAAAGAGGAAGGCCATCTACAAGATGGATCAACACAGTGGCTGCAATGATGGGCTCAGGTATACATGGATTGTGAGGCTGACACACGACTGGGCAGTGTTTCATTCTGCTGTGCATAGGGTCGCTATGAGTGGGAGTTGACTTGACGGCACCTAACAATAAGGGAAATCTGCCCTCAGAAAAATATCACAATTCTAAATCTGTATAAACACAAGAACATAGAGCAAAATATATACAGGAAAAACTGACAAAATTTAAATGAGAAATAGAAAATATACATAACCATAGTACGATATGTTTACACATCTTTACTATCCAGAAATTTGCTACCACTGTGGGAGGCACAGGAATCTGCTCTCTCATCTTAGACCTCCATATACTCTTCCCTCACCCAACAAATACATACAATACCTGGCAAAATTTGGTTGTCATGGGGAGAGCAGAGAAGAAACACTGAGAAACTTTCAACCATAATTCCGGATACTGAGGCTAGATCAGCAAAACTGAGAAAGCCCCTTGGTCTCATCATATGGCTAGCACTGAGTAACAAAAAATAGGCTACTGTTGAGGGTGAACAAGAGAGTGGAGGAAGACTCCCCTCTGTGGTGCAGGTATTCAGAGACTAATTCAAGCTGAGAGTAGAAACACTGCAAAAAATAATTTTGTACCTCATGCTCCACACTAAGCACAAGATAATTCCCAGAGGTATCTGAAATCTGTGGTGCTCTGAAGATAAGGACAGGAACAATAAGACCCTAATCCAAGCTCACCTACTGACTAGTTTACTCCTCTACACTAATGGCCTGACCAAAGAAGAGGTGTTTTTCTTTGCACACTGTCCATCATTCAATGAAGAATTGTAAGATGGACAAGGAAGGCAAGATTGTTAGAAGATAATGCAACAAAACTGGGTCCAGAGATGACCCAGGTCTTGGTACTAAAATGAAGACCAAATACTTTTTCAGAAAAAGAAAAGCTGAGAGAATTTATTTCCAGCAGATTTGCAGTATAAGAAATGTTAAATGAAGTTTTTAAGGCATAAGGAGTATGATACAAACTAGAAATATGGACCTAAAAAAAATAACTAAGAATGCCAGAAATGGGAGGAATAAGTACAAGTATAAAATATATTTATCTTGTTTTCAGTCACTTTGAAAGATGAATGCCAAATCAAAAATAGTAATATTGTATTTTGAAGCTTATAACATATGCAAAAATAAAATGTTATGACAACAATAGCAAATAGGATGGGAAGGAAGTAATGGAAGTATATCACTGTAAAGTCCTTAGGCTATATGGGAAACTATATAATATCATTTAAGGTAGACTGTAATGACTTAAACATGTATATTTTAAACCCAAAAGCAACCACTATAGAAGAGGAAGAAAATACAACTAAGCCAATAACCAAACCCACTGCCATTGAGTCGACTGCAACTCACAGTGACCACCATTGGGTTTCCAAGGCTGTAGATCTTTAAGGAAGTAGAGTGCCTCATTTTCCTTCTATGGAGCAGCTGGTAGGTTTGAACCACTGACCTGGTTAGCAGACAAATACATTACCCACTGCACCACAAGCGCTCCCTACTAAATGAATAGCAGAGATAAAAATTGAATAATAAAAAATATTTAACCCAAGAGAAGGCCAGGAAAAAGGAAAATTAAGAAAAAAAAATGAGACAAATTGAAAAAAATCAGCAATAAATTCAACCATATCATTAATTACATTAAATGCAAATGATCTCAGCATCCCATTAAAAGGCATAGATCATCAGATTGCTGTCTATAAGAAATGTACTTTAAATATAAAGACATAGATACATTAAAAGTAAAAGTATGGAATGTAAAATGAATTTGCTTTATAAAATTTCACCCAAATCACAATAGAAAGTTAAAAAAAATTGTGGAAAAGTGACAGCACGCAATTGCTAATTAAAAGAAAGCTGGAGTGGTTCTATTAATATCAATGAAAATGATTTATATTTGGGGACTTCAATAACCCTCTATTGAAACAGATGGACAGAAATGGGAATCTTTAAGGTAATTAAATGTGCTTATTTATGAAAGTTTTCCTTATTAATTATTATAACAATACAATTGCATAACATAAATCATTGTGCATGCCTTTTGATCTTTGGTTTAGTGCTTAAAAAAAATTGAGCTTTCTCTTTTAATTCTAGAAAAAGATCTCTACCAAAAAAAAGTTGTGAAAAATAAATTTTAGGCTTGCAAAAAGCTGTCACTAATGTATAGTTAAAATACTATGTTGTTGTTGTTAGGTGCCGCTGAGTTGGCTCTGACTCATAGCAACCCTATATACAACAGATTAAAACACTGCCCGGTCCTGTGCCAGCCTCACAGTCCTTGCTATACCTGAGCCCATCCTTGCAGCCACTGTGTCAATCCATCTCATTGAGGGCCTTCCCCTTTTTTGTTGACCCTCTTCTTTACGAAGCCTGATATCCTTCTCCAGGGAATGGTCCCTTCTGACAACATGACCAAAGTAGGTGAGATGAACTCTGGCCATTCTCACTTCCAAGGAGCATTCTGATTACAGTGTTCCTCCAGGACAGATTTGTTGGTTTTTCTAGCAGTCCATGGTACTTACAGTATTCTTCGCCAACACCATAACTCAAAAGGCTCAACTCATTTTTGGTCTTTCTTATTCATTGTCCAGCTTTCACATGCATATGAAGTGACTGAAAATACCATGGCTTGGGTTAGGCACACCACTGTTTTCAAAGAGACATCTTTGCTCTTCAGCACTTTAAAGAGATCTTTTGCAAGAGGTCTTTAGGCCAATGCCTAAAGCATTCTGACTGCTAACCAGAAGGCTGATGGTTCAAACCCACCAGCTGCTCTGTGGAAGAAAGATGGGCAATCTACTTCTGTAAAGATTTACTGCCTTGGAAACCCAACGGGAGTCACTATGAGATGAAGTTGACTCAATGACTATAGGTTTGTTTTGTCTTTTTGGTATGGATTCTTGGTCAATATTCTAGACTCCAGTGGTCTCTATCTATACTTCTAGTAGGCTTCTCTTCACTTTTTCCAGGTTGAAAACTTCTACTTCTGATAATCAAATCCCAACATTTCATTTTTAGACCATAACCTCTCACCAATCCTACTGTTTTACTCCCTAACACCTACTATGCCTATCCTCCAACTTCTTTGCTTCAATTTTTTCATATCTAAGACAGAAATATGGATACTTACCATTTTCAATGGTGTTGTTATTAGGTACCATCAAGTTAGCTCTGACTCAAAGTGACCCTACAATAGAACCAAACACTGCCTGGTCCTGTCCCATCCTCACAATCCCTGCTATGCTTCAGCCCATCATCTGTCGCCACCATGTGCCATTTTATAAATATGACTTAAAATTCATATTAAGACCCAACAGAAATTATAATGGCATCTTACCATATACTTAAAACAATAAGTATATTGAAATACTTGGTATCTTTAGAAAGTATATAATTATAACACTACCAAATACTAAAATCCAGAATTTTTTCCTTTATTATATTAATATGTACAGCATCACAATGTAAAACAATTTATGTACATTATTTTAAAAGCCTGTATTTGGCTCATAAGAGCCCTGAGGGCATAGTGATTAAGCACTCAGCTACTAACTTAAAGGTTGGCAGTTCAAATACACTAGCAGGTTTGCAGGAGAAAGACGTGGAAATCTGTTACCGTAAAGATTATAGCTTAGAAAACCCTATGGGACAGTTCTACTGTCTTATAGAGTCACTATGAATAGGAATCAATTTGACAATAATGTATATTTTTTAATATGACTCCAAATTGGCCTAGATGAATTACAAATTCATTTGAGTGGTGGCCCCATATACTCATAAAGAATAATCTGGTTTCCTCTGTATGTGTATGTGAAATATATTCTGAAAATCCACTATGATGTAAATAGAAATTAAACCAGAGTTACACTTTTTTTTTTAAGAATCCTTTAACAAATAAAAAGAAGTCTTAATAGTATAGGTGTTCTTTATTTCAAAAAAGAAGAATTTTAACATCTATCTTGTTTTAAAGTTTCAGTTGGATAATAAATTATGTTTCAAAAATCTTTACATAAAAACTCCTATACCACCAACCTATGAATCTTACAGTATAACAACATGTAGTATGTTTATTTATTTATTTTTCACTTAATCAATTTTTAGACTCATAGTAAAAACCTATCATTTGTAGAAAATACTTTTAATAATTTAACCAAACATAGTTACATATGAAGTTTTAAGAAACTGCAAATAATTCTTAATACTCTCATTTTCATTCTCCGACTTCTCAAGACTATGTTGTATTTCTTTCAAACATACTTCCTGATGTTGTGCTTTCTAAATAAAAAATAAATAAGTACAGATAATCAATAATGGTATTCCTACCAAAGGACAATAGTCATAATATAAATATATATACACATATAATAACTGAGTAATTACTCTTAATTAATAATTTATCTTAGCATTAACATTTCCTTAAAATCCAGATTAAAGCATATATATGCTTGATCTCTACTGTAATACAGTTTTTGTAATATACGTTCACATAGCCTTAAATTATTACATGTCACATGATTAACTTAAGTGTCTTTTATTTAAAACTGTACAATTTCCATTAAATTTGACATATTTTAATACTGCTGTTGTGCTATTTTTCTCTAAAAAATTCATATTTTATACCATGAGAATGACTTTTACTGTCTTAAAAACAAATTTACCAACATTTTTAGAATCCTTCAAGAAATAAAAAGAACTCTTAATATTATAGATGTTCCTTATTTCAGAAAAAATTAAAAACACAATAGATTTTTTAAACATTCAACAGTACATAAATTCCTAAGCAGATCTGTTTACTGAAAACACTTTAAATGAAGATAGACTGCAAATGCCAAGTAGCTTCCAACTAAAATGTAAGTACCTTGAGAGAGATTTTTATTTCCTTCATATAAGTTGTTCAATAATACCTGATATCTTCCCAAACTGAGCTATGCCTGTCAGAGCAAGAGGGATGGATGAAGGAAAGTGCTAGGCTGGGCTATGCAAAGCCACAGAATGAGCACAGGGAATCTTTATGGAGCTTCCATTTTATGCAACAATTTGGAGAGAAAAATATTAACCCAAACATGCCTATGTTGTAGGGTAGAATGCAAATGTGCATGGATTTCAGGATAACACATAAGACTTCAAAGACTTCAGGCTTTAGGAGGGTTGCTGCTGAGGTTACCCTTGGGTCTGTTTATCCACTCCACCCTCCTTGGAGGACTTGCAGAGAAAATCTGCAAAGACCTGCACTGTAGGCAGGGCACCTGTGGAAGACATTGGGGTACAATCAACTATGCAATAGGCTCTCAAGGTTCTTACAATTCAATTGGGGCTAAAGCATGTATACAAAATAAATACTGGATTGACCACATAACTGACCACTGGAAGGGAGGGAATAGAACACACAGCTCATTTTTTAGCAATTTGAAACCTTGCTATGAGTCAATCCTTCACTTAGAATTCTGGATTTCTACTACTGTAAAAATCATCAAGTTTAACAAAACATCAGATCTTAAACCTATTTATTTAGACGCTTTAGCCAGGTACTGGACACAGAGCAAAACCCAGTTCCTACTGGTTGACATATTGTAGTTTCTCAGGGCTTCAATTACAAAAAGGATATCATGCATATCTTACAATATCAGGAACTTGGTGAGTTTAGAAAAAAAAAAAACTTTAGAGATAAAGGGAAGGCTTATGCTAAATTAAGTGACAAATGCTTTGTTCTGAAAAAATTGCCATGAATCTTTTGCTAGCCATAAAATTAAACTAATGTTGCATGCCAAAATTCATTAAATTGATGAACCTTGTAGCTTGTCAACTTTAAAAACAGTTGGGAATGAAAAATAATTTCCATGGGGTCTCTGGGTCCTAGTAAAATTAAGTATCATTATTCTCTATGTCACTGGCAAGTAGATGTCTGTTAAGTAATATAATCATGGATACTGCTAGCTTTCAGAGTATTTTATGCCAATTGACTATAACATAAATATTTAGTTTAAAAATATTAGAAGACTAATTAAACACAGCTAATTTGGTATTCTCATTTCATGGCTGAGTGGACCCATATCCCATATGCAGAATATTTACTTAAAACTTATTGCTTTCTAAAATGTAATATTCATTACTCAAGACTGATATAAAAGTCTGACTCATAATAATAAAAGTTTAAATTGTGTGTATCTAAAAAAAAAAAAAAAAAAAAAATTCATACCAGGGAGAAAATAAGTAAATTATACACATAACTTTAATTAAGCACTGTCACACAAAAGATATAATGCAGCTAAAAGGCCTGATGAGACCTGGGGGAAATGTAAAAGATGCTTCCACAGAGCAGGATAATAAACTCTGGCAGATCTTGACATTTTTATTTTTTATGATATACATTATTTGTTATTTTAAGTATTATCAATAAAACTATGTTCCTGAATCTCCTTACTTCTTACTTTAACTATTTGACTAAACTACATGGCAAGAATGTTGAATGCCAATATGTTTTATATGATAATATATTAATCCATACTAATACTTACACTGTTAAATTTGCAAACAAGTTGATTTTGTTCTTCATTTTTCTTTCTAAGCTCAGTTTCCAGATCTAATATTTTAATTTGTAAAGCCCTCTCTCTAGATGACATTTTCTCTACTTCTTCAGAAACCTGTAATTTTTATTAAAAGAATAAAATAACTAAATGTACTTTCTTTAAAATATGATTTAATGTCCTTGATGGAATTATAGTATACTTTAAAAAAAATAACTGGATGTTCAATAATTTAATTAAATAATGTTTAAATATGTTCTCTCTTGAGGAAACACATATAAGTATTTAAATTCATCTTTACAGTATAAAACTCACTGCTGAGTCTCGACTCACAGCGACCTCTCCTTGGGTTTCCGGGGTAGTATCTCTACAGAACTAGATTGCCCAATCTTCCTTCCCAGGAGTGGCTGCTGTTTGAACTACCAGCCTTCTGGTTAGCAGCCAAATACCTTAGGCACTACACCACCAGAGCTCCCTTTATATCTGCAAAATTAGCTTGAGATAGAAGTGGTGTACACATTGTACCATGTTGTGACTTAGGTCAGTCTCTTCCCCAACAACATATTTGTATTACATACTGAGACCAACTGCCATGCTTTCACAGTATTTATATTCACCATAGCGTCTACAGCAGTAGAGGAGAATAGATAGCAATAATAGGTCCAGTAATATTATCTATTTTGCTCCAAAAGAGAAAAAGAGGTAATGAACAAAAAAATGTACTAAATGCTGATTATACGTTTGCATGGATAGAATTTGGGGTAGGGGTGATGATGTATAAACTTCACACACAAAAAAGGAAGAGTAATTTCTTTCAAAATGAATTTTTTATTAATTCATGTCTAAAGTGGTCTGAATTTGAGTTTCCATATTTCTCTGATAGCTTATTTTAGAAAAAGTACAGCTTAGCTATGTTCATCCAAGGATTCAGGTATGTGGGAGCCTGTTTGCAAGAATGGTGGGTTGGAGCCCCAGGAATGAGAGTGGAGGCACAGACTAATCTAGGAGCGAGGAGCTAGTGAGGAGAACTGTTCTCTAACTTCATTACTATGGACTTAGTTCTAAGTTGCTATAAAGTAAGTTACAAAGATTTCTTCTCCACAAATTCCAAGGGCAACTGTGAGTAAAGGATGATGCAGCATCTGAAGCTGTTGGAGAAAGAACCCTCAGGACAAATATCCATGCCTTTGGCACTGCTTCCTTGGCTGGGACAATGGTGGCAGGGCAGTGACAGCATTCCTCACATGAGCAGAAGCTAGAGATAGTCCTATATTCCACTGCAGCAGGAGATACACTTATGAGGACTCTAAGCACTTCAGAGGAGGAATCTGAAGGTAACTGGCATTTCCAGAGTTTGTAGAGCTGGAAGAAGCATGAAGTCCTTTCTTACTCCTTCCTAAGGGTTAATGGAACTGAGTACCTTTAGTCCTTAAATTTTATTCTATAATGTGTCTCTCAAAATCCATTTTAATCAAAATATATTTGTGATACTTGTGATGTAAAAGCCATATTTCAAGGCTATTAGATTTTATGACACTTTAGAATTGCAATTAACTGGGTTGGGGAAGACCTTAAATGGAGGAGAGTTTAGAGGCAAGGATTTAGATTGGGTTTTGGAAATACTAAATTTGACTCATGTATTGGGGAGCTCTGGTAGCATAGTGGCTAAGACACTTGCCTGCTAACCAGACGGCTGGCGGTTCAAACCCACCAGCCACTCCTCGGAAGGAAGGTTGGGCAATCCTACTTCCGTAGTGATACTGCCTCGGAAACCCAAGGAGGGGTCGCTATGAGTCGGGGGCCGACTCGATGGCAAACAACAACAACAACAACATTGGGAAATCTACTTCCATAGAAATATCACCTTGGAAACTCAAGGACGGGTTGCTACGATTCAGAATCAACTTGATGGCAGTGGATATGTTAAATAGAGAAGTAAGTAAGTAGGAGGACACATGAATAGATTTCAAGGAGAGAGAGGCCTGGACTGGAAATATAAATTTGAGAGTCATTATGAGACAGATGGTCTCTTTTTAGCATCACTCAGTTCTATAAGGAAATGTATCAACTCCATTTTACCTATTAAGAAACTAAAACTTATAGAAGACATAACTTGCCCTGGGTCAAGGTACATTGTGTTAGAACAGAATTCAAATTCCATTCCTGCTGTACTTCACAGTTATCCTGTGTCATTTCAGGGTTAGATTTTCAAAACATTTCATAAATGTTATCTCTTTGAGTTCTTCCTGAACCATTTCTCCTTACCCCCAGATTGAAATAACCACTCCCTCTGTGTATCTCGTACCCTACCTCTATTAGAGCACCTACCTGTTTTGTTCGCTTGTTATCTCCCTACTAGACTGTTAGTGTCCTGAGAGCTGAGAACAAGTTTTATTTCATCTTCACATCTCAAGCACTAACAGGCTGCCTGACACAGCAAGGTATTCATTAATGGTTAACCATATGAATTTAATTCTTGCATGTATTCATTTATGCAACAACATCTGCCAAAAGTAAAGGGTGTTGGGGTTTACAGCTCATCAGATCCTGACCAAAATCAAAATTTTCAGTAATTTGCACATTCACTGTTATTTTATTAAAAAATGAAGGAAGAATTCCTTCAGAGTATTTTCCAACTCAGCCCTTTACCCTGCCACGCCAAAGCCCACTACTGTCAAGTCAGTTCCAATTCATAGCAACCCTATAGGAGTAGAACTGCCAATGCTGTAAATCTTTATGGAAGCAGACTGCCAATCTTTGCTTAGCAGTAGAGTGCTTTAACCACTGCACCACCAGGGCTCCTTTTACCTCGCCACAGCACCAAAGTAACTCTGGTCCAGTAATATTATCTATTTTGCTCCAAAAGAGAAAAAGAGGTAATGAACAAAAAAAATGTAATTGTTCCTCTCACCCTGTCATCAGGATAAAACAGTAACTGTAGGTTTGGTAAGATGAGATAGCATCTGTTTAAAAAGATGACACTTTGGTAAACCAATTAAAAAGTTTCTAAATAAAAGGTATCTGTACCTTTTTTCTTCCTTCTTCTAAAGCAACTTCCAGCTGCCTGGCCAATGCTGTATATTCTTCAGATTTCTGTTTAAACTTAACATTGCCGTGCTTAAGACATTCTTCTTGGTTTGCCAGCTTTTTCTCAAGTTCTTTATTTTCTGCATCCATCTGTTCCAATTTTCTTTTGACAGAAAACATATATTTTAAAATTATAATGCACTGAGAAAAATGTAACACCAACTTTAAGTTAATTTAATGCTTACAGTTTAAGGTTTTCACACTTCAACTGAATAAGATAATTCTCCTCTTCTAGAGAAAGCCTTGTCAGAAGACTGTGATTTCCATCAACCTCAAAGAAAAAACAAATATTTTCTTGGTTGTTCTCTTTATAATCAAGTTCCAAAGAAATCTACATATTTTATTGTAATAATAACCATAAGAAACCAAGGTATCAATATTATTTTTCCTCCTACACAGAAAGACACCAAGACATATTATATTGTTAAAACACAAGTTTTTAAATTAGTGATTAAACATAAAAAATTATATTGCTTCAGTCATATCTTCAACTAAAAAATTTTCTGGATAATGACAATGAAACTATTCTGAAACCATTTTTTTTTAATTGATAAAAGGACATTTGCTAAGTTGAAATATGAAACTGTTAAGCAGTATTAACCTCCTGTTGAACATTTAGGGTTTTGTCATATATTTCCTGTCTCATGTAGAAATACTGATTGATAACTGAATCTGTGAAATTACAACTAGACTAAAAATGACATTTTTGTGAGAAGGAAAATAATATTAAAAACAAATCAATCACGGACACCTTTGCCTATGCCAAGAAAGAATATCCTTCCCATAATTTCAAAAGCTGAATTTAAATACTTTAAGAACCTTTGATAATTTAAAAAAAAAATCATAATTTTGATTACTTTAAGTCAATATGGCTAATCTTTGTAATTTGATAATTTCTTCGAAAAATATCTTCTCAGGAATTTAAATTCAACAAACTTTTACTTGCATTTTTTTAAACAAGTTGCATTTCAAATTAAAACCCAAATTATATTTGGAGACTAGACAAGGAACCCTTCCTAAAAAAGTTTTCAAATAATGAAAAGGACATGCTTCTTTGAAAAAAAATATTAATTAATTCAACATTTTTTATTGAATGCTCACTGTGTGCCAGACATTGGGCTAGGAGATGGCTACATGGTAAGTAATAGGGCACATATGATACCTATTCTGTTGGAATGAAAAAGTAAATATTGAAAAACTGACTGCAAATAATTCCAATAAACTTGACACAAAAATCTAATTAATGTAATTTCTAATTGTTTTAGATAATTTATTCTGTTACCATACATGAAAATGTATGCATATAAATGCATACAATGTATGTATATATATATATGCATGTACTACGTATATGTTTATATATACATAAGCACAGCTTTGCTTCTTCCTTGCTATCACTACTACTACTTCAAATGTGTAAACATACATTTGTATGAAAAAACTAAATTATCAATGTTGATTACCAATTTTTCACCATAAAATACTAAAAGAATAGCCTGGAAAATAACATTACAATATCTACATGAAACTGATATTCTATCAACTGATTTCAATGGATGTAGAAAAAATCAGCCCTCACATGAGTGCCCTCAACTGGTGAAATCATTTCACAGCATTCCTTTAACACATCTAGCAAAAATCAGAATGACCACTAGACACCTGGCCCTGAAGTTCCCTAATGGTCTGCTCCTGGTCTGCACATCTCCCCTTGCAGTGCTGCAGACTCTCCTGACTCTCGTGAAGCCTCCACTCGGCCGCCGTCAAGGAATCGCTGACATGCTCTAACTCCTTCAGATGAGACTCCATCTGGCCTCTCATCTGAGTTGTAGCATTAGGGGAAATAAGTGCAAGATCACACATTCAGTATTAATACTTTCACTATCTTCAATACTAGATACACTTGTAGTATGTAAGTATTTTAGGATAATGGTTTTAAACAAAAGGATGCAACCAAATATGAGTTAATGTTTATTTAGAATGGTAAATAAGAGCATATAACTCTGAAGAGACTGGGACATTAATTCTTATTCAAAAAGTTTGTCTAGCAAACGAATATAGTAATAACAGGTTGTAGGCAGAATGGCCACTTAGGAAAGCAAACATTTTTACTCCTGTCATTTGTATTCAAGCTATTAGTAGTAGCTATTAAGGAGCTCTGGTGGCCTAATGCCTAAGGCATTTGACTTTGCCACTCCGTGGAAGGAAGACCATTTACTTCCCTAAAGCTTTACCACCTTGGAAACCAAAAGGAAGTCACTGTGAGTCGGAATCGACTCAATGGCGGTGAATTTTTTTTAAAGTAGTATTTATAGTAATGGATAAGGAGCTCTGGTGGCACAGTGCCTGAGACATTTGACTGCTAACCAGAAGGTTGGTGGTTCAAACCCACCAGCTGCTCTGTAGAAGGAAGAAGGGGCAATCTACTTTCATAAAAATTTACCACCCTGGAAACCCAATGGGGTCACTATGAGTCAGAATGCATCGATGGCAGTGGGTTTGGGGTTTTATAGTAATAGGTAGTATTACTGATTAAGCTAGTAGCTTTTTCCTGTCCAGCCATTACTTCTAAAGTAATCAATTACTTTAATTATTCAATCTTTTAATTCAGATATTGAACTAAATTAGAGTAGAACTGCTTCACTTGTCTTAGTACAAATCAGTGGGGTTTACTGTTATTATTTCCAGATGACTAATATCATCAGTCCTTACTAGATTGTAATTTGATCATTAATGTTACTATGAAAAAATTCTAATTTTATTCAAATTATTTTCTTTGGTTGCTGCAATTCATCATCGTCACACTTTTATGGAGATGTGACAAGAAGCAACCTTCAGAAATGCTGATTAAGAAAAAATAACCAGACACATAATACTTAGGATGTTCATAAGGAGGGAAAACAACAGCTTGACTCTTTCTCTGAGACAGGGAACAAAGACTGCTTCTATACCACATTTGTAATTCCTGATCATGGAGAATAAAACTAGAACAAAGTATAATTCTGTGTTCCCCAGACATCTAAGAACCCATGAGAAAGCCAGGGGATTTAAATATTGGAAAATGAAGAATAATTTCATTAAAAAAAAATAAAATTGGTTTGATGTCAGTAAGAACACATTATGACTTCACCACGTCTGAAAAACACAGGCCACTGCCATTTCTGCTTTTTGAATAGGCTTTTATCTGCAGTGTTGCCTAGCAGAAGAGGAGACATCTGCATTGATATGTCTCACAAGAAAAAGAGAGGAGATCAAAAGACACTAAATGGTTTATTCTCTGGTCTGCTAAAAACAGGTACAAAATAACAAAGTAGCAAGGTGTGCATGTGGTGGGCTATCTTCATTTCTTTCTAACTGGTAGAATGTCTGCTTGGTCTGACCTATTTCTGCCTTGGTGCTTCACTGGGATTTCAAAATCCCAAGGCAAGGGGCAACCTAGAGATGGTTACCTTGTTACACTTGGTTGGAACTGACCAGCAACATCAGGGACTTCTCTAGCCAAGAGTTAATATCCTCCAACTTTCATTGCTTTCTTACCAAAATAACATAAAAAGACTCAAAAAGGGATAAAGTTTCATTTAAAAATATTAAAATATTCACAAAAACATCTAACTTGCCAACACTGGCTTTCTCTTTATTCTGTTGTAACAGAATGGATAATAAGAAATGATGCTTTAAAAAAAAAAAGTATAACTATTTTTTTCCAAAAAAGTATTCAGCAAAAGTATTTAGCAGAGAACATTTACTTGCTTTTTGAGATGCAAAAGATTTTTTTTGCCAGAAGAAAAGGTGCAATTAAAAATGGTACATACTAAATTTTTTTGCAAGATGTTTATGTCTGCTCTTAGAAAACTTAAATATGTTTTATTTCTATTTTCTAAACATAAAGGAAAAAGTGAAAAAAAAATCATACAAACATTTTAAGCTGGTAAAAAAGAATTATTTTCTCAGAAAACAAACTCCTACAAAGGTTGAGAACTAATAATTCCTAGGTAAGAACAATTTAAAAAATGACCAAATTTAAGGTTATGTATATTACACAAAATCTGTTAACTGAAATATTAATTTTATTATTTAAAATCTCAAACTTACTTTCTCTAATTTTTTATTTTTATGTTTTGTTATTTGGTTATTTTCATGTAGCAAATTTTCACATCTGCTTTTCACTATTTCAGCTGCTTCTTGCAACTTCTGTACCTGAAAATAAAATATCTTATTAGAACATGAATTATTTCATTATTAGGCCCATACATGAAATAAAATGCTGAAAGTTTATATTTTCAACTTGCAACAAATCATCATCAATAGCCTCATTATATTTATCTAATGTTATTTCTTCTTTAAATATAGTAATCACTCAATGCTTTACTATAATCCACAATTGTTTTATCATTTACCTGCCTTCTCCCATTGATACTTCTATAGTCTTCACTGAGCTCTGAAGACTACAAGGATCTACAGGTCAAGAATGCTATAAAGTATCAGCCTCTGGTTCAAATTCTCATTCATTCTTATTACTCTTTCCCATCTCACATCCCAAAATAAAACTCCAATTATATATATATATATATATATATATATATATATATATATATATATATAAAGCACTATATACAAAGCCTAGTACCATGAATACGGTAACTTATCCACAGCATTCTTGCTAAAGGAATAAACTCAAACAACAGCTAGAAGACCTACAGGACATTTTTCAATGTGTCCCATAATCCACCACATCCTTCATTCTAACCTTGAACCTGGATGACATTTAGGCTTTTGTTCTTGTTGCTGTTATTATGTGCTGTCAAGTCGGACCCAACTCAAAGAGACCCTTCCATGGGTTTCCGAGGCAGTATCACGACGGAAGTAGATTGCCCTACCTTCCTTCCAAGGAGTGGCTGATGTGTTTGAACTACCAGTCTATTGGTTAGCAGTCAAGGCACTACGCTACCAGGTTGGATGTCTCAATTCCATTTTCCCCATCTAATTCATCCAGAAGCAGTTCCTTTTTACTTCTATACTTTATCCATTGTAAATTTTCACTCTTATAGTTCACTATTAATTCAAACTCTTTCTTCTGCTAAGTCAAGGTCTATACTGGCTAGCTTAATTGTTATCCATCATTTAAAGATCTGTGTAAGTCCTACCTTTGCTGTTAAGTTTTTCTTGAATATAAGCAGTACTCTGGGTTCCAAACAAAATATGTTCTTAACTCCATCTTTAAGTAGAATTTGTGAATTTGCAGGTAAGTTGGGACAGATGCATACAATTTTTATTTATCCTTACTTTGTTGTTGTTGTTATGTGCCATCAAGTTGGACCCAACTCATAGCAACCCCTCCTTGGGTTTCTGAGGCAGTATCACCATGGAAGTAGATTGCCCAACCTTCCTTCCGAGGAGTGGCTGGTAGGTTTGAACCACCAGCCTCTGGTTAGCAGTCAAGTGCCTTAGCCACTACGCTACCAGCAAGAAAAGCCTTGAAACCTTTTCAATGATGTAAAAGCTACACATACAGCAAGTGAAGGTGATTGTGATGAAGAATTTGTTCCAAATAAGGGTTGGTTCAATTGTTTCAAAGTGAGGGTAAATTTACATAACATTAAAAGGCAAGTATGAGTTGTCTGTAAGTTGGCATTGTAACCCAGGGACTTCTTACATTACATTTCTAAAACATAAAGCATTTTGATAAATTATCATTGAATATATATACTCTGTGCCAAATATATATTGTCATATGTTCTTTTCTAGGTCATTCATGTGAAAAAATCTAAATTACAAGTGACTTCATTTATTGGGAAAGAGTCATTATTACAAATCAGTATCATTAAATATTCAAGATCACAAACAAATATAACCAAGATTAACAGAATATATATTAAAGTTTACATTATTTTATGTAACTAATTTTAATTTACTTTTAGGAATTACTATATATATACAGGCAGAATTTTCCTTATAAAAGTATTGAGGACCTTCAGAAATATTTGGGACATATTTTATCCTATCACAAAATAATGGCTTCACTTCTCTTAGTTCTGCTTATTTCAGTTGCAAACAAATGAGATACTTTAAATTGTCTACCAAATTAAACCAATGTTAAAATAAATGCAATGGTCACCTGATTTTTATATACTTCAATAAGGGTCTTCTGTTGGTTTTCTACTTCTTGCAATTCTAAAAGTTCATTTTCAACAGAAGCAGCCTCTTCTTTCAAAGCAGAAAGTGTACTCTAGAAAGGAATATGTAAATAGATTTTATAAGTCATTAAAGCATATTTATACTTCATTGTTATAGGACTATAAAAGCATAACTCATTTATTAGCAGTTAATAAAATAATTTTTTGACCACACACTATTACCATCTAAAATTTAAGAATTCAAAAACTTTGAGTACTACTTATAAAAAATTTTCATAAGACACACAGGATAGCAAGGCAAGGTGAGCAGTTGCTCCCATTTATGCCCCAACAATAATCCATTGAACTACAAATAAAAACAAACACAGACTGAGATCTCAGAACTCCAGAGAACATATGAGGTGTTGGGAGAGTTCAAGGTGAGTCCAGAAACAGAGGAGAGAAGGATCAGTGTACACCACAAAAACTGGAAGAACCGACATGCTAGCATCTGTAGCACTTGTTCACTACATTTTGGTTGGGGTCAGGCAACACTTGGAACAAAGAACGATGACTGGAAGTTAAACTGAGGAATCTGTAGCCTGACTTCTAGTGATTCTTAGGAACACAGCAAAGCAAAATCAACCAAGTGTAACCAGAATATTTTCCCATGAAAATCAGAAAACAGGATCTAAAGAAAAAAAA